CATTTCTGGCGGATGTTATGAGCAGATGATGATAAAGGAGAAGCTCACAGAGTTGGATACTCCTCCCAGTTTGATGACCGTCTCCACCGCGGTGCTCCCTCCAGCTCCGGCGCTCACACCGGCACCTCCATCTTCTCCCTCCCGCTCCCTCCGCTTCTCTGGGGGAGCACCAGATGAACAGGGGCCGCTGGGATCAGCAGGGCGCTTCTGTCCCGACATCTCTTTAGTCCTTGCAAAATAAAACATGTTTAAATATGGTTTCACTTAATATTCTCAAACCAAACACCCCATAGCGGTGAAAACCTAAACGTAGCTGTTTATGACGCTGTTCAACATTTAGATCCTAAAGAAACTGAAATGCTCTCTGCTTGTTAGCTAGCTGCTAACGGTCAATGCAAACAAACTCTTTTAAGAGTTTTTAATCTAAACTGACCATTTGCTCCGGCTATTTGGCAGTATGTTCTGTAATATAAATTCATAATAAACCCCTTACTGGTTTCAATATTAACAAATAAAGATTGAATCAGTAGGGAAATGTTGATGTTGCGGATCCTTACCTCACGGAAACGGAAGTGCTAACGTTTCACGGGAACGGTAAAATTTCACCCATCAACTGCGCTCTATCGCCACCTACAGTAACGGAGGGCGTTCTGAAAATGTACCGATCCTACCGCTATCATATTTTACAAAATTTTTATCTGCGAGGATTTAATTTGTGGCACGCCTTTTTATATCTTAATCTATCGAGCTCTTTATGGATGAAAATGGAGCTACTTTTTCATTCTTGTCTAGACTTATTCTTTCTTGAATATATTTTTGTGGAGATAAATCAAGCACCTTTTAGCTTCAAGAGTGGAGATACGATTCCATCAGTCCAATTATTTTCTAAAAATGTTGTAGCGAACAAATAAGTTATAATGTTAGGAGTTTCTAATTTCCCACTGTCATTGAAGGTGGAGAGAGGAGTGAGGAGCGTAGAAGAAGAAGAAGGGGGAGTTCTTAGAGAGCTGCAGGTTTATAACCTGACAACAGCCATGCATCTGGCTGTTGTCAGGTTAGCAGGTTTAGTGCTATGGAAGCAAATCGTTACCTTATTTCAATTGAAAAAGCATTTTCAGAAATGAAATGAAAAAGACATTTGAGATTTATTTTTGAAAATGTACCCCAGCAAATACATACCAAAATTCAATCTGAAATGTAAAATTGGAAAATAAAAAAAGGCATTTGCAGAAATGCTTTTTCATTTTAAGAATGTGGCTGCATTATTTTACTCATAAATGAAATTAGTAATCAATCATCCTAATTGCATTTTCTTCTTTAAGACTGCACATTTTATGCCGTAATCAAAGAGAAAACACAGTGGACATTGCTTTTTCGTTTTCGTGGTCTGCCAGCAAAGTACTGTCCATAACTTGAAAACGAAAAAGCATTCTTAGCGGCGGGTGCAGCAGAGTGACGTCAGCAGCCGCTCTCCCTCAGGTACTTGCTGACTACCCATCTTGTTCGGTAAGGGGGCACTGTGCACGTTTGCATTGCTTTACATTGTAAGCATGCCGGCGGGAAACTGAACGACCACAATGACCAAAACAGTGGCAGTGCTACTGAGGGAGGCAGCTGCGGCTGTAGAGCAAGTGCTTTTTCATTTTAATTAAGTAAAAGGATGAGCAGTGTTAAAGAAGAAAATGAAAATGCAAACAGCATTATTGATTACTAATTTCATTTATGAGTCAACAATGCAGCCACATTCTTAAAATGAAAAAGCATTTCTGAAAATGCTTTTTCATTTTAAATATGGTAACGATTTGCTTCCATAGGGTTTAGCTGTTAAATTAGAGACTGACTTGTTTTTGTCGGGTTTAATCTGTAAGGTGACTGGCCTGCAGTCGTTGGCGTGGTTACAACCTACAGTAACCCATCCTGTAAACAATAAAGTCACTGTTGCCACAACCCGCGCTGTTATTTGGCAGCTATTACAATACATTTTAGGGCATATAAAATGCTCATTGTGAGTCCCAATGAAAAAAATTCTACATGCTCACCTTAAAAAGAACAAAACTATTATTTTGCTTTCTCTACCTGAATTATACTTTGTTTATTTTATTTTATGTATTAGCGGCCCTGTTCAAAACTTCCCAGAGAAATTTTAAGGCTATTTTCGGCAGCATTTTTTAAAAATGTTTTTAAGGGTTGTAAAATTATGTCTATCAGAGTTTCATACTATCTCTGGCTTAAATTAGTCTATAAATAAGTTTATGACTTACCATTAAAATATGTTACAGATTTCTTATGTGTGTAACAGGCGTTTTGAGTAGGCCCAAATCTATTCTGCATGTCCAAAACCAAAGAAGCAGCTTTTAGTTCTTATACCGCATTAATCTGGATTAAAATATGAGAAAAAAAGTGAAAGTGCTGAAATTTCAACCAAGATAAAAACATTTTTTTATTTTTTATTTTTTTATTTTGTGAGGGTTGATGTCCAAATTTCCTTACCTGCATCTATTCACATGGTGATTTTTCCCCTTTAGTTTATTGATTTCTTTTCCCCTTTAGTTCCCCTATTTAGTTGTTCTTTTCTATAATTATTTCATCACTTTAATTAACCATTTTCATCATTACCTTTAATACCTAGTTCATTTTTTTGTACTATGCCACTGTAATTAACTTTTTCTGTTTGTTCTTTTAGTTCATTTTTTTTGTACTATGCCACTGCAATTAACCTTTTCTGTTTGTTCTTTTAATTTACTTGTTACTGAAATATGTTTTTCATATAACCCTACTAAATAACCACTCATCTGATCTCTTCTTTTAACATGATGTTTGCACAGGACAATCTATTCCATATCTTACACTCCTAAAATCTAAAGTTCCTTCTTTTCACGAAAAAGTCAAACCAATATTGACTCACTACTTAGTATTTTTTTCTGATAAAGCTTAGATTTTTAAATATGTCTTAACAGGTTTATTTATTCCTTATTTAATAGGGGCAAGGGTGTACAACAAACATCTAAACACTACAACATGTATATCACCAGATTATTTTAAATGTCTATCCCTTAAAAAAAAAGAAACACGTTTACAAAATGTCACTAATTTAAAAACAGTACAAACAGGAACAACCATGCTGGCAATAATGATCCAGCTTTAAAATACGTTCCAGTTAATTGTTAAAAGCCCCCAAATCAAAGTATTATTTAAGCTCAAAAGACAAAGGGTTCCACAGTTTGGCTTTCTGGACAGAGAAGGCCGACTGTCCATAGGATTTTTTTCTCATGGAAACTTTTACATTTTCATTTGAAGCTCCTAATGTGATGAAACCCATTGCCATGAGTGGGATATGAACTGTCTGATGATGTCAGGGGCCAAATTGTTTACACATTCATACAATAGTTTTAAATTGGAAGACATTAAGAAGTTTTCAAAACTAAGATAATGACATGCTTGTAAACCTTCACATTGCTGTCAAATTCAAATTTATCTTATCCCAATATTTTAACTGCAGAAACCTCTATGAATCACTCAATTTTATATTTATTAGGATTAAAAAAACTTGCAATTTTTTTTTGCTTTTCTTAAAAAAGATGTCATCTGTGACTTCTAAAACTAGATCTGTAAAGCAATGTTTGTATCATTATGTTTCCGAAACGTATTTTTAGCCAAAAGTCCCTGTATGTTGGAAGACGACTCACAAGATAATGAAATCACAAGTTTTCATCAGACACCTAAACAACAATCTTCATCTCAATAAGTAGTTTATCTAAAGCCTTTGTTTGTTAATTCAAGTTTAACCAAAGTCTAGATCTCATCAAGATCAGGCCACCAGAGCACATGACAACAATGCAGGCATTTTAAGCCTCAGTATGGATTCCTAAAATAACTGCCTTTGGATATGTTGACAGTTTTGAAATATTTTAACAAATGCTGGCCTGATGAAAAGCAAAATATTCTGGTTATTTTATTGTTGATCCTGAATCATCCCTTTGGCATAAGCTGTTTTGAGTGGCGCAATGAGTTCCCGCCATAAATACACTTTATCTTACTCCTTTGTGTGAAGTTTTATAACATTTAGGGTTTTGGTGAAATGAATTGACAAAACCTTCCAACCAGCAATCATCTTCCTGCAATCTTTTTTAATTACCATCTTACCTCGTTGGGACAAGCAACATTCTTTGGATAGGTTTTCAGAACTTTCCAAAAGTATGTGAAAATAAAATCTCAGACTCAAGGCTGAGTTCTAATCTGCATTAAGAGAATGGACATTGCACATGGTGCAGAGTCCAGGTTGGGAAAGGGCTGTCTCATCAAGGGTGCAGTGGTACCTATTTACTGGGCTTAGATGCTAATAGATCTTAGTGTTTAATTTAAAAGAATGGCCAAAAAATATGCATGCAGTGTTTGTTAAACTGCATTAAAAAGACACATTAGTAGGTAAAAAGCTGCTTTAGAAATTGTGAAAGAACAAGCATCTCTCATATGTGTGCAGAAATATTTACCTGTAATTATGGTCATTTGTTAGAACAACATTTACCAAAATAACCATACAATTTTCAAAAATTATCCAGGAAAATAAATTAAAATGTTCATAAAATGTTGCAGAAATTATGACTATAAGGAAACAGAATATAAGTGGGACCTCTGCATGCCTGAACTGCTTTCTGTGCATTGATAAAGATTACATTTAACTTGTAGGTCTTGATTATCCTGATTCTTTTATCAACATAATTGATATTAGTTCTTTGCTTTTGAATGCCCATACTTCCTCCAAACAAAGAAGAAAAACCTGAATTACAGCATCTGTGGCAGAGTTCTCCCATTTCCACATTTCTTTAAACGCTCATGCAGACATTGTGTGATTTTACACGCGCACAAAGTCCCCTTTCATGTTTTCTCCACACTCTCTCTCAGAGCAAGTCATGAACCATGAGGTCCACAGATCCTCATCATGGGGCCCGCCTCTGTGAGGCTGGTGGGGGCCAATTGTTTTTGCAGTGTGACACCCTCCTCCCTCGACCCGCCTTCATGAGCACCTCCCCCATCGCCTCCAACAAGAATAAATACAACTCTTTACCCACTTTCTGTCCTCTGCTTCATCCCGATCAGCCGGACGTTTGTCACTTCAACTGTCGTCGCAGTTTGACAATAATCTCTCAAGTAAGTAGCATTTGGATGTTTTTTTTAAATAAAACCCTTTGTTTATTGCACAGAATTTGACAGGTCTCTGTAGAATTGTTACACATTAGTGTTTTTGCATGGGACTTTGCACATGTTTACAAGTTGTAATTGACTCTAAACAGCAGAACTTTTTGGTAATTAATAATTCTCAGTTTGTGATAAACAGATGTGTTCAATTTTTCCCTCCCAATAGGAATTGTATTGATTCCCCCCTAAAAATATGGTGCATAAAAAGCAATGGCAAGTAAAAAAAGTACAGAATTTGTGCAAATACTTCCTGTTTGCCCAAACTTAATGCACTGCAAGTATATTCATCAAAATCCCAAGTGCCTTGTTCTTGTTGCATTCCTTGGCAGAAAAACTTTGGTAAACTTGTTGCAATCTGAACTATGAACTCTTGATGCACATCTGAAAGGGAGAAGTTATCTGTTTTCAAGGCCAAAGTTCAACCATGCAAGCCAAATATTTAACTGAGGAGGTGGTGCAGGAGAAGCCGAACGTAATAACAGACGTTTGCTTAAGGTTTAGGAAATGCAGCATTTTCCTCCTGCATTTTAAGGTTTTAAGTTGCATTTAATCATCTAATTTTGTTCTGCAAGGATGACTCATCAGTTCCCAGGCCTGACTCCTGAGCAGAAGAAAGAGCTCTCTGACATTGCTCAGAGAATCGTGGCTCCAGGGAAGGGAATCCTGGCTGCAGATGAATCCACAGGTTAGCAAGGGTGTTGGTTGTTATTCTGTCATTATGGGTCATGGGCCTTTTACTAAAAATCCGTGCTACTCTTTCAAGGTACCATGGCAAAGAGGCTGCAGAAAATCAATGTGGAAAACACAGAGGAGAACCGCCGCACCTTCCGGGAGATCCTTTTTTCGTCCGACCCCTCCATTTCTAACAGCATCGGTGGGGTCATCTTCTTCCACGAGACACTGTATCAGAAGTCAGACAGTGGTAAACTCTTCCCCCAAGTTGTTAAGGAGAAGGGGATGGTTGTTGGCATCAAAGTAAGGAGATCTTCATTATCTACATTAATAAAAGATTGCTGATATTTTTAGATTGATCTAAATTTTATTTAATCAATTCAGGTTGACAAAGGAACAGCAGGTCTGAATGGAACAGATGGAGAGACCACCACTCAAGGTAACCACTAAAACATATCTTCTTCTTTGCATATTTTTTAAAAAACAACAACAAACAAACAAACAAAAAACATCAAAACAATACAGACTGCTGATTTCTTGTTTAGGTCTTGATGGCCTCTCGGAGCGCTGTGCCCAGTACAAGAAGGACGGCTGTGACTTCGCTAAGTGGAGGTGTGTGCTCAAGATCTCGCATGGCTGCCCGTCGCCTCTTGCCATTGCTGAGAACGCCAATGTCCTTGCCAGATACGCCAGCATATGCCAACAGGTTTGTGTCACAATTTCAGTTTCTGTAATGCCCAGCAGATGGAGAAGCCTGCTTTCTCTAATTTTCTTTACCCCTGTCTTCTCCAGAATGGCCTGGTGCCCATCGTGGAGCCTGAAATCCTGCCTGACGGTGACCATGACCTGCAGCGATGCCAGTATGCCACTGAGAAGGTTAGTTCACTATATAAGCGATGATCACTTTACTAATTACACAAAAACAATGGACACTCATGTATTTCATCTGCAGGTCCTGGCTGCTGTCTACAAGGCCCTGAATGACCACCACGTGTACCTGGAAGGCACTCTGCTGAAGCCCAACATGGTCACAGCTGGACACTCCTGCACCAAGAAATACACCCCTGAGGATGTTGCTATCGCAACAGTAACCACCCTGAGGCGCACTGTACCTGCTGCTGTGCCGGGTAAGCCCGATTCAATTGCCTCCTTATTCCACAGGCAATTAGTATTTAAGATTTGGTCAAATGAGGTTCTGGTAAAAGGTCAGAAGCAACAGATAGTGCTCTTAGTTTAATATAAAGCAGGATTAGATGAGCTTAAACTTCTGAGATGGGCCACAAAAGTAGACTTTATCTTCTAGAATACCATCAAATAACCCTGACATTATTTAACTTGTTTTGATCATGTTTGCCTTGGATTTACAGAGAAATAATGACTATATATAGTAGATATAGGTAGGGGGAAGTGCACCTCTGTGGCTTTTCCTATAAAACAAGCAATTGGAGCGTAAAAGTATGTATTTGATATAAAATTGGGGCAGTATTAAAACCTCTCCACCAGGTTATGTTCTGCTTTTTGGACACCCAGAAAGATTATTGGTGATGCACACCATCCCATGTCCATTTCCTGTGTGAATAATTCTCTTTAAAAAGCCATCCACCACAAACAAACAAAAACAGTGAAACAGATGGATTTTAAAGAAACCAATCCAGTCAACATGTGCTGTCAAAAAGAAAGATAATCTGTAGCCTTTTGTTTAAAAACTGAAATGTGCCTTTAAGATGCCCGTGTACATGCAGCTTTTTTAGCATCTTTTTCATGACCTTTCCAGGCATCTGCTTCCTCTCTGGAGGACAGAGCGAGGAGGAGGCCTCCCTGAACCTAAACGCCATGAACCAAGTGCCCCTCCACCGCCCCTGGAAGCTGACCTTTTCTTATGGCCGAGCACTCCAGGCCTCTGCACTAGCAGCCTGGTTGGGCAAGGATGCCAACAGGAAAGCTGCGCAGGATGCTTTCTGCTCCAGGGCCAAGGTGAGCATTACAAACAGACAAGACAGGAAGTCATCACACTTCCCACTTATCAATCAGGTGTTATGGACTTTAAATATTTCTTATCTTGAATTACTCAATTTTACACTGTTTTGTAAATGATTGATTCCTTAAAACGTTTTGTCTGTTCTGTCTTGCACTCGTTTGACGCATGCATTGGCTGATCATTAACACTCATGTTTGACTTTGTCCTTCTCTCCTCTCCTCTGCTCTCATCAGATCAATGGCCTGGCGTCCAAAGGAGAGTACAAGCCTGCTACCCCAGCTAGCCAGGCGGCCATGCAGTCCCTTTACACTGCCAGCTATGTCTATTAAAACTATAAACACTAAAAAGTACATATGGACCAAAGGCTGATGTTCAGTTTCCCTGCATCACCAATAATAACAGAGGATTTCCACCATTATGTCAAGCTACTGTTTGCCAACATTCATTAAATCAAGGGTAATAACCTGAAAATACCAAAGATATTTGACTTTTGCTGAGTTTTTTTTTTTTTTTTTTTTTNTTTTTTTTTTTTTTTTTTGGTTGTCCAGTTCTTAAAGCCGTTCTTTAAAAACCCTGCACTCTATAAAGGTTGGTCAGCTACGGTGTAGTTTAAATACCACAACACGGATGTTTCATCAGAATTTGCAAAAAAAAAAGTGCTTCTTTTTATTCATAACGACATAAACAATTACAGCTCTGCATACCGGCCACAACAGAAGCCAGATGTATTTAAACTAAGGTTTAAAAACAGATGATGAAAGTGTTAATATTTATTAATGCATTTAACTGAATTCACAGTGAAAATAGATATAAAATAAGCTGATAAAAAGAGTGTTATAGATCAGCAGATTGATTAAATAATAAAGCCTTCAGAGAAATAAAAAGTATTCACCCAACTTTACTACAGACAAATAATATTTAATAATAAGAAAGATGAATACTATGACAGAATAATAAAGAAATATAAAGAGGAAAGGTAAATTTAGCTACAATAAGACATGGGAAATTTCAAACTGGTTGTTCAAAAACTTTTCTCCTGTGGAATTTATATTACTTGCATATTTTAAGTTTTTTTCTTATTATTCTTGATAGCACAATATAAAGCTATACAAAATGGCCATGTTAAAGAATATAATTTAAAGTTTCCAAACTTTACATAAAAATAAAATATTCAGCTACCTTCACTCTGACAGCCCTAAAAAAAAAAAAAAAAAAACAGAAACACCAGCTGCAGTCAGAAATCACTTTATCATTAAAAATAGTCCACTTTTATTGAATGCAGTCTTGGCATAAATACATTTGTTCTGTTAAGGCCTCAGGATGTTTTACAGAACATAAGCGAAACAATATCCCAGCCATTAAAGACCTTCGTAAATCCATTATCTAAAAATGGAGTGAGATTAAAAAGCAACAAAAACTCAGCCGGCCATCTAAACTGACAGTTTAGGCAAAGAGCATTGAAGAGTCAAAGGCCTCATTATAATTACAGAGAGCTTCAAACATCTATCATTATTTTGGGGGCCGAGGAGAGTTGACAGTAAAAAGGACAGAGCTAAATACTCTACATTCTTAAAAAAGAAAAAGAAAAAAAAGGCAATATTATTTGTGTAACACAGTTCAGTATATGGATAATTCAAAGTGCTTTAAATGAATTAGACAATAAAATAGAGGACAAATAAAGGCGAACATATTTGTAAAACAAATACAAGTATTTGACCACAAAATAAGAATAAAAGTGACAAAAAAACATGGTAAAAGCAGGTAGAAAATAAAATAAAACAGTTGGATCACAACCTTCAACAAAAAATACCGATTAACCTCAACAGTCAAAGGCAGCTCTAAAAAATTGATTTTTAACTTTGGCTTAAAAGAACTCAGGCTTTCAGTACTTTTACAGTCTTCTGGGAGTTTGTTCCACACAAATGGAGCATGCTTCTCAATGTTTGGTTCTAGTTCTGGGGGTACAGAGTAGGCTTGAACTAGAAGACCTGAGTGTCAAGTTTGGGTGGAGGGGGTTGGTTGAGGACCCAAATGCAGAGATGTGTTCTTGCAGATTTAATTGGGATGCAGATGGCAAAAGAAACACAAATCCAGGAACAAAAAAACAAGAAATCAAAACCAGGAGCTACGATGAGGATCGAAGCAATGAAGAGTAACCAGCACTGAAAAACTAAACAGGAGGTGTACAGGTGCTGGTCATAAAATTAGAATATCATGAAAAAGTAGATTGATTTCAGTAATTCCATTTAAAAAGTGAAACTTGTATATTATATT